TATATATATATATATATATATATATATATATAATGCAATTGAATCATATAATGCAATTGAAATTGATCCATTGTGAAAGGTTACGTGTATTACCAATCTGTTCTAAATATGCCAAATAGTATTCTGTCATACACCATTCTATATCGACTCCATTATGAGACATAAAACAAGGGTAAAAAAATGAGGCTAATCCATGCGGTTGAAATTCTGATTTCTAGATCCATAATGAAGGTCACAGATTTTGATAGTGATCTACACGCTACCAAAAGTGATGTATCCATTATAAACAGTCCAAAATTGCTGACTTGCTGTTGATGCAATTGAAATTTATTATAAAATGATCCAAAACTGCAAATGTCTAAAAGGCAGATGAAATTCAGATCCAAAAAAAAAAAACTTAAAATGGACACGGACAGAATTTAAAATCAATACTAACTGTGCCAAAAATTTCGAGATCCGATTTTGCCGAATGTATCAAGAATAATTCTTAAACTTAATAGTTTAAGGAATTTCACGAAATTCAAACATTCTATTCGAGAAAAATAATCCAAATATCATACGAATAGAACATGCACAAATCCTAATAATCTAGCAAATGATGATCGCTCTGATATCACTTGTTAGAAAATCAAATTAGATCCAAATATAAATTAAATCCTAGGATCAACATCATGCTAAATTACTAGGATTCACATATTCAGATAATATACCTGTATCCAATTTAAACGATTGCCTACTGTTGCAGAATTACTGCGACAATCGACTACGTACCGATGAATGCAAATGAAGAGGGTGGTTTTGTGATCTTCCTCAACCAAATTTCCTTATTCCTCAATGGGACCGTGATTTCTCTTCTTGATGGGGAGAAGGGAAAAGAGTGTATGATTTGGTATATTGGGGACCATAACCAAAATAACCTTTATATACTATTTAATTAAGGTTCCCATTATCCCTTAATTAGAGTAATATTAGCCGGTATCTACTCACTTAGTTCATATTAATTTGAGTAGTCTATAGGCATACAAAAAATAGACCACTTGATTTTTGCCCATTATATTAAATAGCTAATATAATTGTATTAATATGTTGCCAATATTAATTCAGGAAAATCGTGTTTTTCTAACAAGAATCTAGTGATCAGATTGATGATGACATTCTAAATGATTGCTTACTTTGTTAAGAAATTTAAGAAATTTTTTAGGAATAATAAGAAACATCCCGAGAAGAATAAGGGTATGAATTATATGATGTTTGCCTCTATAGTTGAGAATGAACATATAGAGGATAATGGGAGACTTGACGACATAGAGAAATTTGATTCTTCACAAAAAAATTAAAAAGATGAGCTGGGATATTTATGAGGCGTTTGATGAGCTGTTTGAAGAGAGCATTAAGTTGAAGAAGGTTAATAGTTCTCCTTTTGAAAAATTACATGAATTTAAGTTAGAAAATGAGAGTTTAAAAGTCAAACTTGAGGAGTCAATTAGAAAATTGAATAAGTTGAGGGTTGAGAAAGAGCCCTTAGAAATTAAGGCTCTTACGAGTGATCTTGAGAAATCTAGTGCCCAACTTTAATATTTTTCTAGTGGATTTAAGAAGTTTGACAACATGGCTGGGAGTTGAAGAAGTATAGGCTATAATGAAACAAATTCACATATCCCCTCATCTTTTAAAAACAAGTTTATACCTACCTCTATCAAGTCTAAGAATGTAGGAGCCATAGAACAGAAATTATCCATGCAACATATATTTTCTTAGCCTAAGGTTCAAAACTTGAGACCTAGAATTACTCCTGGGTTCATTCCCACTTATTACAATTATGGTTAGTTTAGTCACGTAAGGTCTAGATGCTGTAAGTCTTTGGTTAGGAACAAAAACAAGATCTCGTTACTCATATTAGATTCTAAACCAATCACGTGAGTCACTTGACTAATTAAAGATTTATTTATCAAAAAATGACATATAAGATCTCAAAAGATTTATGTAAAAAAAGTCAATTTTTTGGTCAAAATGATGTTAAAAATTGCAGTGTTGCTTGAGTTACTCTTTAAGGTAAGAGCATTTGTGTATCTCTTTGAGTATGTCTATAGGTGCATGCATTTGTATTGTTCATGATATCTATCTATTCATGCATGCACTTTAACTTTTTCCTTGTCTCATTTTTATTGCATTATTTGTTTTATATAAAAATAAAAAATAAGAGCAAAAGAAAAAATGATTTATGATATTATAACACTAGACATGTTATCTTGTGATCAAGTACTAGTAAAATTAATGAATGGTGAATAAAATTTCCATTAACTATATTTAGAACTTATTCGGAATATTTGGTATATGTTATTTCATTTATTATATGCACTGTGCACGTTAAGTTCATGTGAGTGAGTCTTGAACGTATGTGTGAGATTTGGGATGCGCGATCATCGTTGTGGTAAGGTGGCCTTATGTATGGATTAATCTTTAACTAGTTGATCTAAACTTTATAGTAAATTCCCCCATAAAGAAAATATTATTGAGTGTCAAAAGAATTAAATAATTTGTTAATAGAAAAAGTGAGACATAATAAATATGAGTTATTTTGTTTAAAAGGTCCTAATAGCATTGAGTTTGATTTAGAGTCTTGATTACAGAAGATTAGAGGCACTTTTCATACATGCGTTGCTTATACAATTTATATCATATAGGTTTAGAATAAGTTACGTGAAAAAATTTCTTTATTTGTAAATTACACCTGTATAAGTATTCATGTAATCACGTGATTTGAGCATTCTAGACATGATATTATATTTAAAATTAAATATTTTTGATTGATGATTTGACTAGCAAGATTTGATATTTCGACCATATTAAAGGTTAAACCCTAACCTTAAGGGTCCCCCACCATCCCTGCCCTGGAGCATCGTGAGGGAGGTAAATCGCAGGTTATGCCTCCAAGGGTACAGGGTGGAAGGCTGCTTGTACACTTGCACTTACCCAAAAGCCAAATCCATATTTCAGGATTCGAACCCTTGACGCAGCAGCCTCAAACAAAGTTGAATTTCTCCACCCTCTCCTTTTACCATTTGGAGATGTGCCCTGGGGGCTGATATTTCGACCATATTGATATTATGTTTAGTAGTTTGTATAATATCGATATCATATTTTTAAGTTGCTAATTCGGCTATTGATATATGATAAGTGTGTTTTTGCACACTCATTAGACACTTAATTTAATATAATTATTGATGAAAAGAATGGAATTCTACTCACAATTAAGTAATATTTACTTTTATAGGCTAAAAATCACTCGTGATAAGAGAACAAAGCAAAAAAGAGAAAAATGGACTAATAGTGTACAAATTTGTGATGTTGGGGACCAAAATGCACGTGTCAAAAGTAGAGGAATAGTGATGCAATTTACGGAGGGTATAATCCAAAAGAAAAGTCAAAATCTAGGGACCAAATTGTACAAGATCAAAAGTTGAGAGACTTGGCATGCAATTATTGAGGGACTAAGATGTAAATTATGTCAAAACTCATTTTTTGGCTGCTGGACAGAAATAGGGCGCCTAGGCACCGTTTTTTCTTATTAAAAAAGGGTCCGGAACCAATTTGTTCATTTTCCAAAACTTCAGGGACCATGGCTGCTATTTTGCTAGGTTTTATAATTAAAACCAGCAGCTGGCACGATTTCTTCAGTTCTTCAGTTCGGTCTTCTGCTGGGTTCCCTTTTTTGCTGGGTCTTTCTTTATTATTATTATTTTTTTGCTTTCATCTTCTAATCTTTTCCTTTTTTTTTTCTTGGTTATTTTGGAGATACAACATAGAGCAACAAGGAGATTACATCAAGGATTTGGCAAAGCATTTGGGAAAAATCATAGCCAATCTACGAAAAAGGGTTTTATCTATTGTTTTGTATTTTCTCCATTATTTAGCCATATTTGTAATACATTGTACTAATATTCTCCTTTGTTGCCATTTATTTAACATGGGCTAATTTAATGACTTGAGATTTATGGTATTAGTTTAACCTAGTTTTAATTGATTTTTCAATATTTGCTATTTGATATTAAATTGCCTATTTCCATGTGTTTATACTATTGTATTTATTGTATTTTCATTTATGTGGCCAATGAATGAATATGTTTCGTGAATTGTACATAGTTCGAGAGAAGATTGTGCATTTTAGACTAAAATGGTAGAAACTCTAGGTTTGTGTAGAGGATAGATATATACCTTTAGCCCTAGGTGACCCAATGAGCTATTTTCATAACAATTTAATGCGGTTGTTTGGTTGTAATCGACATAGAGATATAGTAGGTTAAACCAATCAATTAGGGTTAATTTCATTCGAGAGAGGTAATTAGCTAAAATTGGAAAATCAGGTCTAACATCGTAAATGAGTAATTCGTTAATTGGCATGTGGAGAAATTAATTAGGTGACGTTGAAGCGAAACCATGAATCCCAACCATGTTTTCCTCCAAAATTCCCAAGATTCCCATATTTTTTTAGTTTGTATGTTTTTTCCTTAGTTTCTAAATCAACTCTTTATTGTGTATTTGTTTATTTTCATTGTTAGAATTAAATTGATTAAAGTTGTGTAATTTAAAGTAAACATTCCTCGAGGGATCGACAACTCGGATTTCAAAGGTCCATTTTATTACTTGAACGTGACCCGTGCACTTGCGGTAGTATTTTAACGAACAAGTTTTTGGCGCCGTTGCCGAGGAAGTTTTATTTCAATTATCATATTTTATTGAATCTAATTTTTACAAGTTTCATTTTTTTTTTCCTTTTGCATAGCTTCTATATATTTATTGTGTAATTAACTTTTAATTTAGATTTCCTTAGGTTTTTGGTGGTGCATGCTTCGTTCGAGAAGTTTTGATCTTTTCGAGCTTGATCCGGATATTGAAAAAACTTTCCGAAGAAGGCGACGGGAACAAAGAGAATTGAGAATGCAACAATTGATTGAGATGGCACATCAAGGGGTAATTTGGAACATAATGCTCAATCGGAAAACGTTCCTCGAGGTGGCATTCCATCGGGTTTTGGTAACCAAGCGGGTAGAGCTCAAGAGCCTATTGTAAATGAGGAAGATATGCTATTTGGGGACTTCATGAACCCACCCGTAGTAGAGAATGAATCAAGTATTGTCTACCCTCCGTATGGACATCCAAACTTTCAACTTCGTCCGGATGTTATTAGTTTGTTCTCCAATACCATTCCATTCTTTGGAAGGATTGATGAGAATCCTCACTCACATGTTGCACGATTCATAGAGAATGTTGGAAATTTTAAACATGAAGGCGTAAATGTGGAGACGATCCGGATTAGGTTATTTGTTCACACATTGAAGGATAAGGCAAGGAAATGGCTTGAGACTCTACCGCTCGGAAGCATAAATAGTTGGTTGGAATTTATTCAAAAATTCACAACAAAATTCTTTCCACCCGCCCGAGTAGCCAAATTCAAGCATGACATAACCACTTTCCAACAATCCGAATTTGAGAGCTTTCACGAGGTTGCGAGAGGTTCAAGGATATGCTTCGAAAATGTCCAAATCATGGAATCACAATGGGGCAACAAGTGAATTATTTTTACGACGAGTTGACTCCTTCTTACGGTTTAAATGTGGATTCATCATCTAATGGCTCAATCAAGAAGAAGAGTATGCGGGAAGCATATGATCTATTTGAAGTCATGAGTGAACAAAGTGCTATGTGGCCAGATAGAGGTTTACAAAGAGGGGTTGGTGGAGTTTGAGATGGTGAAGCTTTCTCAATGGTTCTAGCAAAGATTGACTCACTAGCAAAGAAGGTAGAAGGACTTTCTACATCTACCTCGAGCTCTCATTCCGCTCATATGGTAAAATCTCCACCTATTTGTGATATTTGTGAAGAAAATCACCCAAGCCCGAGTTGTCCATTGATAGGTAGTGGTTTAACATCTACCGAGCAAGTGGCATATACTCAAAACTTTCAACGCCAAGGGTACAATCCTTATTCGTAAACTTATAACCTCGGTTTGCGAAATCATCCGAACTTTTCTTATGGAAATAATCAAAATGTGCTCAACCCGAAGCCACAAGAGAAAAAAGAAGGGTGGGACAAGGCCATTGCTAAGTTGGCAAACCATCAATTGCAATATCAAGAACGCAATGATGCCTCTTTGAAAAACTTGGAACGTCAAGTGGGTCAAATTGCCAAGCTTATCTTCGAAAGGCAACAGGGAACATTGCCTAGCAACATTGAAACAAATCCAAGGGAGAATGTACGAGCTATTACCACTAGAAGTGGGTTGCAACTGCCCGAAATCACGATGACACGCCCTAAGGGTCAAACCGACAAGGCACCCATTGAAGAAGAAATGATTATGTAAGAACCTGATCCAAAGGATGAGACACTAATTGAAGAAGAACCGGAGCCATCAACATCAAAGGCTCCAATACCAGTTAAAGCCTATGTGCCTCCTATTCCCTTCCCACAAAGGCTTCACAAATAGAAATTGGATGCTCAATTTGGAAAATTTTTGGAGGTATTCAAGAAGCTACACATAAACATTTCGTTTGCCATTGCATTAGCTCAAATGCCGAGTTATGCCAAATTTATGAAGGACATTCTTTCAAACAAAAGAAAACTTGAAGAACATAAGACAGTAATGCTAACGGAAGAGTGTAGTGCTATCCTTCAAAAGAAGTTATCACTAAAAATCAAAGATCTAGGGAGTTTTACTATTCCATGCACTATTGGAGATTTAAATTTTAGTCAAACTTTATGTGATCTTGGTGCCAATATTAATTTGACGCCTTTGTCTATTTTTAGAAAGCTAGGATTGGGAGAAGCTAAGGCCACCACTGTATCATTACAATTGGCTGATCGATCAATTAAATATCCTCGGGGTGTCATTGAGGATGTATTGGTTAAGGTAGACAAATTCATATTTCCAGCCGATTTCATAATTCTTGACATGGAGGAGGATCATGACATCCCTATCATTTTAGGACGACTGTTTCTTGCCACCGGTTGAGCTTTGATTGACGTACAAGAGGGGCAGCTCATTCTAAGAGTCCAAGATGAAAAAGTTACATTCAATAACTTGAGGGCCATCAAGTATCCATCAGAATCTGATTCATGCCTTCGAGTGGATGTTGTTGATCATGTGGTTGCCGAGTCTTTTTACAGGCTTTCTAAAAATCCTCTAGAAACATGTCTTGTTTGTCCTTCGGCTATCAAAGAGGAAGATCCTAAAGTTGAGCATTTGGTACACTATTTGGAGGCTACACCTTCTCGGTCTTATAAGAGAGCACAAAATTATGAAGACTTGGAAAAGAGCTCTTCACCACCACTGCCATCTTTTCAGCAGGCACCTATACTTGATTTGAAGCCTCTTCCATCTCATTTGAGGTATGCTTATTTGGGAGAGTCATCTATGCTTCTGGTTATCATTGCTAATTCCTTAAATGAATTGGAGGAAGAGAAATTACTTCAGGTGTTGAGGGAGCACAAGGGAGCCATTGGTTGGACTATTGCAAATTAAGGGAATTAGTCCTTCACTATGCATGCACAAAATCCTTATGGAGGATGATTTCAAACCATCAGTGGAGCATCAAAGGTGGTTGAACTCCAATATGAAAGAAGTGGTAAGAGTCGAGGTGGTAAAGTAGCTTGATGCGGACATTATTTATCCGATTTCAGATAGTGCATGGGAGAGCCCCGTTCAAGTGGTGCCAAAGAAAGGAGGTGTCATGGTTGTGGAAAATGAGGATAATGAGCTTATACCTACTAGACCCGTGACCAGTTGGAGGGTATACATAGATTACCACAGGCTTAACAAGGCTACAAGGAAGTATCACTTTCCTTTTCCTTTTATTGATCAAATGCTTGAGCGGTTAGCGGGGTATTCTCATTATTGTTTTTTGAATGGGTATTCAGGCTATAATCGAATTCCTATAGCCCTAGAGGATCAAGAGAAAACTACCTTCACATGCCCATATGGTACATTTGCATATAGAAGGATGCCCTTTGACCTAAGCAACGCACCCGCCACTTTCCAAAGGTGTATGATGGCTATATTCTCCGACATAGTGGAGAAATGTATTGAGGTTTTTATGGATGACTTCTTGGTATTTGGGGCCTCATTTGACGAATGTTTGAGCAATTTAGAGATGGTGTTGAAAAGATGTGAGGAGACAAATTTAGTACTTAATTGGGAAAAATGTCATTTCATGGTCCAGGAAGGCATAGTTCTCGGCCATCGGATTTCACATAAAGGGATAGAGGTTGAGAAGGCAAAAATCCAAGTCATTGAGAAATTACCTCCACCTACCTCGATAAAAGGGATAAGGGGTTTTTTTGGGACATGCCGGACTTTATAGGAGGTTTATCAAGGACTTCTCGAAGATCACAACGCCACTTTGCTCCTTACTTGAGAAGAATACTCCATTTGATTTCTCTCAAGAGTGCCTCCATGCTTTTAACACTCTTAAAGAGAAACTCATCAGGGCTCCTATCATTGTAGCTCCGAATTGGAATTTATCATTTGAGCTTATGTGCGATGCAAGCGATTATGCTATTGGAGCAGTTTTGGGGCAAAGGATAAATAAAATCTTATATGTTATTTACTATGCTAGCCGGATTTTGACGGATGCTCAACTGAACTATGCCATTATTGAAAAAGAGATGCTCGCACTGGTATTTACATTTGATAAATTTCAATCTTACCTCATTGGATCAAAAGTGATTGTTTACATGGACCACTCAGCCCTCAAATATTTGCTAGCAAAGAAGGATGCCAAGCCTCAGTTAATTAGATGGGTCCTTCTTCTACAAGAGTTTGACTTGGAAATTCACGATAAAAAGGGATCGAAAATGTTGTTGCCGATCATCTGTCTTGACTTGAGCAAACCAAAGAGGTGGTGGATGGGAAGATAAATGAGGTATTTCCCGATGAACAACTATTGCAATTATGCATCTTCTACAAGCCACCCACATACCATGGTATGCGGACCATGTGAACTTTCTTGCTAGTGGCATCATTCCCCTGGATCTCTCTTACCAACAAAGGAAGAAGTTCTTTGCCAACATCAAGCATTATTTTTGGGACGATCCTTTGTTGTTCAAACGGGGTCCGGATCAAATTATTCGGAGATGTGTGCCGGAAGATGAAATTGAGCAAATCCTTGAACAATGTCATTCCTCACCCTATGGTGGTCACTTCGGGGCCATGAAAACTGCATCAAAGGTACTTCAATCCGGTTTTTATTGGCCCACATTATTCAAGGATGCTCACACTCTTGTCTCCAAGTGCGACAAATGCCAACGCAGTGGTAATATTTCAAACCGAAATGAAATGCCTTTGAATTCTATATTAGAGGTGGAAATTTTTTATGTATGGGGTATTGATTTTAGTTTTTTGGCAATAAATTGTTGTTTCTTAGAATCTGATTGTAGGAGTGTTTTTTTTTTTGTTTTTTTTGTTTTTTCTGTTTGGGATTTAAACAACAAGCTTCTGGACCTTAGTAAATAGTGGGCGTGGACTCAGGGCAGTTTGCTACACATTTTTTTATATTGAGGTTTGAGAAGTTTTTCGGGTGTGTAGAGGTTTTTATTCTTTCTATCTCACCTATGTAGGAATAATGTTTGTTGTTACTTTATGAAAATATTTGATTCTTGATGCATTGATCTTCATATTGATTGGGGCTTTGAAAATTTGTTGTTGCTTATGAAAATTTCTTCTGTCTATCTCACTTATGTACGTCTGCTTATTTCATTTTAAAGTTCAAAAAATGAATCAATTTGTTATATTGATTTCATTTTATGTCCATTGTAGGAATTAGAACTTGTTACAATGAGGGGAAAAAAGTTACAGATATATGATACTTGATAATTACAGGAAAGCACAAAACAAGTAACAACCATGGTACTCTAATTTGTTTTGATTTGATGAAGTTTGATGGCGTTATTCAACAAATGGAAGTACTATTTTTTCTGGTTCTACTTTCTGCAATAAAGCAGAGTACTAATATGCAATTAGCATTGTAAAAGATAGATTGTACAATCAAATGGATGATCAATGGATGAATGATAGCACAATTATCTATGTAGAGTAAGATATATTTTTGAAGATTGATAATAAAGTCATTGTACAACGATACCAAAATATGAAAACTCGTAATGAATAAGTGTAATTATAAATTAATGTCATTTTTATTGTTGTCGTAATATTGATTCATATTTTTAACTTCATTTAATCCATGGCCAAAAAAGTTTGGAGTTGATTAAATTGTGCACCTATTGAACAATATTCTTGACATCTTCGAAATAATTTTTTCATCCTTATGTATATTATAGGTCCTAAAAGGTGTAGATAAAAAGTATTTTAATTGATTATGAACATTAGTAGAAATGACCTTACTATTTTCCAGTAACATAGACCTCCTGAATCAATGTGCTCAACTACATGTATTATATCTCTCGAGAGAAAGATAAGGTGTAAGTGGGACAAGTTCCAAACTTATGGGTATAGAACAATAAGTTGGAACAACATTGTTATAAGTCATTGGTACGTGGTTCAAACATTTTAAGACTGAAGGGTACCATCTTGTAACAGTAAAGACTTTATCAATGATGAATTACTGGGCTCCTAGTCATGCTCATATAATGGATTTGATTGTACACTGAGTATGCTTCCATGAAGCAAAGCAACTCATATTTGGCATTGGGATCAACAATTTAGTCTATCTTTGGAAGAGGAAAATTGTTTTTAGAAAAGTCCTGCTGAGGTCTGTAAAGTCTATGTTGACTCTCCAATCTCTTTATCCACTTCGGGTAGATCACCTCATGAATGAACCCATTGTTGAGCAATTTCTCCACTTCTTTGCTTAAAGCTTTATATTACTCAAGATTAAGGGGACACATTCTTTGTTGTTTTGGTTGAACTAAAGGGTCGATGTTCAACCTATGACAGGTGACCTTTGGATTAATTCCCTCCATATCCTCGTGGCTCTCGATGAAAACATCAAAGTTTTGTTGTAGGAATCTTGCTAGTTGGGATCACAATGCTTAGGATAACTTGCGGCTAATCTTAAGCCCTCTTGAAAGTTTATCCTTGCTGACCTGGAATTTGTTCAATTCCTCCATATATTCTCTTCTTTTATCATTGAGTTTTATCCTTGGATCCAGGACATGGACACTCCATATTGGACAGATGTCATTCAAATTCTTAGTCTGGTTGGAAAGTGTACCATGCAACATTTTTCAACAACTTTTTTGTTGTCCTCAACCTCTCCTATTCGATAAAGAGTTGGAAACTTGATTAAATAGTGATACATTGACAAGCCCCTAGGTAAAAAAGGATAAGTTGTCCCATAATTGCATTATATGACGAGGTGGAGTCCAACACTACGAATTCAGCTGTGACCTTAGCCTTTTAGAGGAGTTTTTCCTACTTCCATAGTAAGCTTGATTTTTCCTTTTAGAATTATAGAGCTCTATTCAACCTCAAAATAGGGTTCGGATATCATTGCATGAAGTGCAATAGAATTTTCATCTATTTTATGGTACTAACATAGAGGATATTGTAATGACCCGGGTCCCTGTAACCAAATCGTTAGCTTACGTATTGTCTACTTTGGGTGGGCCTTGTGTCCACTTACCCCTCATGACTTTTTGTAGCGTCCCTCAGGATTCGAACTCATGATATTTCCCTTAAGTAAGATTTAAGTTGAATCCTGGTATCAATTGGACCACCCGCGCATGGTGGATTCACAATCCACTTGGCTACATCCGCTTCTCTTAGATATTTTGATTTTAAGACAAAAGAGATCCATTCGAGGAACATGGGGACTAGTTGAAGTAATGAGCCTTCCCAACCACACATTATCTAACCAAATAAAATTCTCTCTTGATACGTTCCTAAAAAAATCCGATTCGTGCGGATTCTTTCTTTTATCACTTAGGAGCCATGTGAGATGAAAGTCTCATACATGGTTTTGAATGAGAGAAAGAAGTGAGGAATCCTCTTTTCAACTCTGACTCTCCCACTCACATTTTGGGAAAAACTAGCTAGCTCTGGGTTCGAGTGGCATTTCATCCCTAACCACAACTCAAACCCCTCTGGTAAAATAAGAACAACCCCTACATTCAAACCTCTTTTCTTACTTCGTTTCTCAACGTTGAAGTAAGACCAAGCTCATGAGCTTATTATTCTAGGTTGGAATAAGTTGATAGGATCCCCTTTTTTACATCCCCATGTCCCTCGTGTGGCTCCAATTGTTACCAGGATTCAACTTAAGTATTACTTAAGGGAAATGTCATGAGTTTGAATCTTGAGGGACGCTACAGAAAGCCGTGAGGGGTAAGTAGAATCAAGGCCCACCTAAAGTGGACAGTACATAAGCTCATGGCTTGGGTACAGAGACCCGAGTCAGTTGTCCAATTGGTACCAGGATTCAACTTAAGTCTTACTTAAGGGAAAGGTTATGAGTTTGAATACTAGGGGACACGACAGAAAGCCGTGAGGGTGCATTTTTTGTAACA